GAGCAGTCTACCACCGGCTCATAACATCTGCCGAAGAAAACAAATTGTTACTCGAGGAACAGTTTGGTTTTCGGAGAGGTCGTTCGACCGTCCACCAGCTGACTCGAGTAACAAACATTCTCAGACGGAACAAGTCTATTTCGAAAACATCTGCCATGGCGTTGTTGGACGTTGAAAAAGCGTCCGACAATGTCTGGCATGATGGCTTGGTGTTCAAATTGCAGAACTACGGTCTTCCAATCTTCCAAGTGAAGATAATTAACAACTACCTATCGAACAGGACGCTCCGAGTATCTCTGAATGGCATCACATCGGATGCTTTCAACATCGGTGCTGGGGTTCCACAAGGAAGCATCTTTGGCCCCATTCTATTCAACCTGTTCACCTCCGATATGCCGGCTCTCCCTGATGGTGGATCGTTGTCTCTATTCGCAGATGACACATCCATCGTCTACAAGGGTAGGGTCATCGGAGCTCTGACTGCCAAACTTCAGAGAGGCCCGCACGTCCTGTCTGAATATTTCAACAGCTGGAAGATCCGTATCAACGCGGCAAAGACCCAGGTCATCATATTTCCACACTCTAAATCTCCCAGACTTCTTCCGTCGGTGAATAATAAGATCTGTCTGAACGGTACAGTGGTGGAATGGTCAAAAGAGGTAGTCTACCGCGGCTTAACACTAGACAGCAAGCTGATTTTCAGGGAGCACGTTGACAAAACCAAAACCTAGTGTAATATCACTGTATCCACTCATCAACAGGAGGTCTACTTCATCCCTGAAAAATAAGCTTGCTGTCTACAAACAAATCATCCTTCCCGTAATAGAATACGGGATGCCAATCTGGGAGAGTTTCGCCAAATGCCATCACCTTAAACTTCAAATGATCCAGAACAAGATCCTTAGGATGGTCCTAAACAGTCCCCCGCGGACTAGAAATTCTGAGATCCACCTCCTGGCTGGAATTCAGACATTAGAAGAACGGAGAGTTTTCATCTTGGAAAGGTTCAGAGACACCTGTCTGAGATCAAAACATCAGATCATACGTGATCTAGCACGATAGATTAAGTTACTCATTGTTAGGTAGGTTATCACTTTTTTTCAATTCAAACAAAACACACCCCCAAAAGGGGTATTCAGTAAACTAGTTAAAAAATGCAAATATTTAATTAGAATATTAAAATAAAATGTTAAATCAATGTTCTATCATAATCAACAGAAATAAACATAATTTTACATTCATACATATACGATGTTGCTTCCATGTGCAAAAATGTCCAGGAGTGCAAGGTTTTTAAAACTATGAATAGTTTATGACATAATATACTCACTAGATGGCGAAAATGATCAAGTTGCACCTTCTTCAATACACATTATAAAACGATATCTTCAGATCCTGCTTATATGGATAGTTTCCGTCTTGAGCAAAGTTTATCAGGTGGAGAAGACCCATCCTGAGGTAAAGATATTATTTCAAAATTCACTCAACAGGTAGCGTTATCATGACATTTATTTTTAATTGTCTGTCCTAACTTAATATCTTGACTAGATAGAAGGTTCCCGTCTTCTGCAAAGTTTTTCAGTTGGCAGGACCTATTTTATAGTAAAGAGTTTAGTTCAGAATTAACTCAAGAGGTGGCGCACATGTGGCAATCTATCTATCCAGGTGGCGCTAGTGTGATATTCATTTTTAATTGTTTACCCTAGCTGAACACATGGACTAGATAGACGGTTCCTACCATGGGTAAAGTTGTTTTGATTGACAAGACCTGTTCTAAGGTAAAGAGTTTAGTTCAGAATTCACTCACCAGGCAGCGCTAGTGTGTCATTCTAGACTAGATAGAAGGTTTCCGTCTTCAGCAAAGTTGTTAATTCACCACCAGCTGGCACTCGTGTGATGTTGATATTGAATTTTTTGCCCTAAACTAACATCTGGACTAGATTGAAGGCTTCCGTCTTCGGTTAAGTTGTTCAGATATACTAGACCTATTCGATGGCTTTCGGCCAGGTTTTTAAGATCATTTTAAACAATTATATGGTAATCATCATAGTTTAGAATGCACTCCTCCGGAATCGCGAGAGCATCACTGTATTTATATTTTTTGCTTATAAACATTTATAGAGATAAATACGTTTAAAGATATCGTACCACAAACCACCCCATAAAACGGGATTAGGCCTTAGATTTGGAATTCGCGTACAGATTTACATATAAATACCGTGAAAGTGGGTTATTCCGCTTAGTGTTTAGTTTCCTTAATATCAAAAAGAGAAGTAAATTGTGCCAAATTCGTGCAACGAAGAAAGAAAAAGTGTGAAATCCTGGCTTTATATGGATCTTGGCGGGGGTGGTCTATTTAAAGGGTGATACGGTCAAAATTTGGTCAAGGGAAACCGCGTGTAAATCGGTGAAATCTTTTATTTAAAAAATCAAATTAAATTTCTTTTTCAAGTTCAATTAGTATAAAATTCAGGAAAAATATTCAGTTAGGCTTCCGCTTTTCCAAATCCGAATTGCCGGGCCTTACGCTTGACCCCTGCCATCAGATTTTGTACAGCCACCTTGTCCACCTTCTTCGCCGCAGAAAGCCAGTTTGCCTTGAACTGCTGCTCGCCCTTAGCAGTTTTTTTGGTCTTCTTTAGGTTCCGCTTGACAATAGCCCAGTATTTCTCAATTGGGCGGAGCTCTGGCGTGTTGGGAGGGTTCTTGTCCTTGGGAACCACCTGCACGTTGTTGGCGGCGTACCACTCCATGGCCTTTTTACCGTAATGGCAAGATGCCAAATCTGGCCAAAACAGTACGGAACAACCGTGTTTCTTCAGGAAAGGCAGCAGACGTTTATTCAAACACTCTTTCACGTAAATTTCTTGGTTGACAGTCCCGGAAGCTATGAAAATGCTGCTTTTCAAGCCACAGGTACAGATGGCTTGCCAAACCAGATATTTCTTTGCGAACTTTGACAGTTTCATGTGCTTGAAAACATCTGCTACCTTTCCCCTTCCTTTTGCCGTATAAAACTCCTGTCCCGGAAGCTGCTTGTAGTCGGCTTTGACGTAGGTTTCGTCGTCCATTACCACGCAGTCAAACTTCGTCAGCATCGTCGTGTACAGCCTCCGGGATCGCGCTTTGGCCGTCGTATTTTGTTTATCATCGCGATTTGGAGTCACTACCTTCTTGTAAGTCGATAGTCCGGCTCGTTTTTTGGCTCGATGCACGGTTGTAGACGATACACCCAGCTTATTTACGGCATCTCGGAGAGAGAGGTTAGGGTTTCGCTTGAAACTACCGGCAACTCTCTTTGTCGTCTCAGCGGCTTCCGGTTTTCGATTTCCCCCCGATCCAGACTTCCTGGCTGTCGACAAACGTTCCCCAAACACTTTAATTACATTTGTAACGGTTGATTTGGCAACTTTTAGCGATTTTGCCAACTTTGCGTGCGAGTAGCTCGGATTTTCGCGATGCGCGAGCAAAATTTTGATACGCTGCTCTTCTTGCTTGGACGGCATTTTGACAACTTAAGAGTGAATTCCAAAATCAAAATAGGAGCAACATTCTACACACACACACCTTCAAAATGAGGGGTGTTCAGGTTTTTTAAATGCAAAATTGAAAGAAATACGTCAAGTTGCTATTGACCAAATTTTGACCGTATCACCCTTTAGTAGAACATTAGAATGTTTGAGGACATGCAACATTAATGTTGAGTCAAAATTATAATTTGGAAACTGCATGAATGCTGCACTGCACACATCTAGTTTTTTCTACCGAGCTCGGCTGTGCAAACCTCGGCAAAAAAAGTCACTGAGATCTCAGCAAACATTTCATTTGCTTGCTGAGATTCAGCTAAGCATTATCCGAGACTCAGCAACCAAATGTCACTTTTTCTGAGAGCTCAGTGAATTTTCTTTTTGCCGAGATTTGCAGAGCCGAGGTCGGTAGAAAAAGCTAAATGTGCATAACAAAATGGGGACAAAATCGTTCTTGTTGGCAGCATACCACTCCAAAACTACCGTGGAGTAGTGGCAGCTGGCCAAATCAGGCCAAAAGATGACTTTGCCCCTATGCTTGCCGATGAACGGCAATACACGCTTGTTCAGGCATTCTTCGATGTAAACTTGGGATGTCATCGTCCCGGATGTGATTAATGGTTCCTTTTTCAGACCATAACTGCAAATCACTTGCCAACTCATGGCCTTCCTTGCGAACTTGTCGGCAAACACGAAATTGAGTCTTCCCGGCACATCCCCACGTCCAGTCGCGATGTAAAATTTTTGACTGGGAAGCAGCTTAAAAACGAGTTTGACGTATGTTTCGTCATCGGTCAAAGTGCAGCCCATGTGTTTCGTCAAAACATGGTCGTACAAGAGCCTTGCACGCTTATTGGCCACGAAATTGTGCTTCATGTGCCGGTTCGGATGTTTACTGGCTTTGTACGACTTGTATCCTTTCCGTACCGTTTGAAAGTTGGCGTTTTACCTTGCTTCCATATCTCGGATCGAAAGACCAGGGATGGCTTTAATGCACCTCAACACCTTGTAACGCAGTTGTTGTTTTCAGCATCTTCAGCACTTTAACCAGCTTGGAACCGGACCACTCCGGATTTCCCAAGTGTTTGTGCAGAATACTTTTTCTTCTTTCAAGTTCAATTTGACGTTATTTCTGAACGTGATCGACTACTTTAATCAAACTTGCACCAGCTGTTCTCTATAGAAGTGAAAACAAACCACAGTCAAAGATTTTCGATTCCCAACACTATGACAATTCGAAAAGCAGAACTTTAACTTGACTTATTTTGTTTATTGCGACAAACTGACTTGACGTTGTCTTCACGATTTTCATGATCAAAGTCCATAGTTTTAGGAAACAATATGAAAATCTTACAGCAACTTACAGCAAAAGCAAAATTAGCAAATACAGGAACAGACCTAATTTTAAGCGCATGTCTGTCACTTGATAGGAGTTAGCTCACATGAATCACTCTCAATCTCCACCACTGACAGATGGAGCGTGATGGTGTTCGAGCGGGACATTGGCATTGCCCCGCCGGTTTCGACGCGTACGCCCAAGATGTCCATCTCGCACCACCCCGACCAGGTGCTGTTCCAGTACGAGGACGAAGCCCTCGGTCACCTTCAGTCAATTGTAACCAACGAGGACACGCAAACCATGCTCCAGGCGACGCGGGATCTGGTCAAAACGGTCAACGACTTTATCACTAGAGTAATAGAAAACAGCTCCGACGAAGAGCAATTAAGCATCAAATGTGATATTTTAAGGTGAGTGTCGGCAGTTTGAAAACGGCAGTATGATTTGGTCACTAATGTACACCTTTCCCAAGCAGACAAAAATTAGGTATGTTATTAGATACTCTGAAGGAAGAAGAAGCTGGTCTTCACGGTGACGACGAATTAATCCGAACACTGAAAGAAATTGCTCAAAAAAGTGCCTCTCAAAGACCAATAGAAACGTAAGTAAGGGTGAGTTTTTGCTAATTGTACTCTTGGTTGAGAGTTTTTCTTTGCTTGCAGCGATTTTCTTTCTCATAGAACGATAGAAAAACAGGAAAAAGACAAACTGAATTCCAGAGAACGCACAAGTAGACTAGACTGCCATGTGGAAAAGGAAGCAGTCTTGTGCAGGGCCAACAGCCTTAAACGAGCCATACACGACGTGCTCAAGTACAGCGAGACGAGCCTGCTGTACGTACCCCCGAAGCGACTCTCGATTCCCATGATCACAAAGGGTGAGTATGCTTCACTGATGTAAACTCCGAAATTATAGCCCAGTAATCGTTTCCGCAGAGACATCTCCCGGCGGTTCACCCATTCCGGTCTCGGCCCCTCTGTCATCAATCTCACCGTCGGTGTCCACCTCGCGACTCACATGCATATCACCACTGCCGGACCTGCGGCGGGACTCCATGGACGAGCAGTTCCTGAGCAATGTAAACCTGCCGGTGCCAAAGCAATTTGCCGACGGTGGTAGCCGGCGTGGCTCCGGCATACCTGAGAACAAAAAAATCTCCAGTATCGAAGAGCTAGAGGAAACCCAGAGCACCCACACTGAGAGGAACGGCGATTACAACGTGGCAATAGCGCGCCTCGCCAACATCGAAGAAAACGTAGACAATCATTGTAGGGACGACAAGGACGATACGTTGAATCAGAAATCAATCACAACGACAACTTCGGATTCGCAATCAACGACGGCACCGTACGACTTTTCGTTCGAATCCGACACGAAGACTGTAAAGTTCGAGGTAGATGCGAATAGCGCGTTCGAACGCTTAGGATTTAAACCATTCAAGAAAACCATCGAACATCACCACCACCAGCTCCAGCAACAGAACAGCGATCCTTCCGAGTACGTACACTTTCAACCGATTGAAGTATACGAGCGAAATTTGTATCGCAATCAACAGCAACAACTACAGCAGCAACAGCAGCAGCAAAAACAGCAGCTACAAACTGGTAATGGCAGGTTGACACCAGCTGGCACCGATCAAAAAGGCTCCAACATGCTACAGGTGCCGAGTATCTGTCTACCCACTCTGGAGAAACCTCCGGAGAACATGTACTTCGGCGACAATATTACAATCATCGACACGGATATGCCGGTATGGTATACTCATTATTCGGTTACTGGGTAACTGTTATGAATTACATTTTTGTAGGAACGATCATCATCGGATGAGGCTCCCGAAGAGGCCAGCGATATCATCTCGGCAATCAGCAACGAAGAATATAGCCTGACATCGGATATCCTGGACCGACCATCGGAGAGCAACTCCCACTTGCCGATTGGCGAGTCTATTCAGGTTTGTTGGACAATAGCAACGGTCAAGATGACACAACTGAAGGTGGGACCTCCGGAGGGTCTTGGATGAGGTTGCAAATGAGCAGTTCCAGCAGTGAACCAAGATTGTGCCAGAATACGGCCATTTGGACTCTCACCACATTTTTCAAAAAAAAAAAGCGTTTTCGGTATTTGTCAATAAATCATAGCACATCTAGTGTCAAAATGGCTCATTTATATCACAAAATTGGTTCATTGGTTCAGCGAACAATTATGCGAAGTTCCATAGAAATCTGAAAGGTAGAATCTAAATTTGTTTACTTGATGGCTGTTTGGCCTGGAACTGCTCAAATGTATCCTTCTAATTACAGCAATCCCAGACGGGATTCAGCAAACATCCATGGTGAGATTCAACACAACTTCTTAGTTAGATGTTACAGGAATCCAGAACGGAATCGGCAAGAAATTCTGAAGAGTTTCACATGAATCTCTAGTGAGATTGTATCAGAAATTATCGCGGGATTTTACTCAAATCACCGAAAGTGTTCATGCTCAAACATTGCATCCGTATTTTTGAACACGAACTTAGACACATTCAAATAGAATCCCTGAAAAATTAATACTCGAATCCCAGAAAAGATTCTAGTGATTTCCCTTGAAGTAGTGTTTCCATTTCCAGACGATTGTTGTCTTCCTGGGAAACGGGGAACAACTGATGACTGTTTCGGGGAGTTCCCGGAAAACGGTAAATATTTTGTTCAAAGTCCAAAAAGATAGGACATTGAATTCATGGCATTTATTTATCAGAATGTTTATTTCTTAACTTTTGTATAGTGATTTATAATAAAGAAACTAGCTTGACCACTTAATTATAATATACCAGCTGAGTATGCTCTTCCTTGCGCGCTTGGCTTGAGTTTATGCGCCGATTCAAAAAAGCATGCTTTATTTTTCTGTTTCATTTGTATGAGAGCCCCCCTCCCCCCTTATAAAGGATGGAGGGGTCTCGAGCCATCATAAGAACCTTTCCCGGCCCCAAAAACCCCTGCATACACATTTTCACGCCGATCGGTTCAGTAGTTTCCGAGTCTTTAAGGGTCAGATAGACAGACAGACAGACAGACAGACAGACAGAAATTCATTTTTATAAGGGAAATGGATGTAATGTCGGCCTAAATGCCCCTAATTTGAATTCAGCAATCGACAAAATTTTCAATAGCGGCTATTTCCCCTATGCATAGTTTTACATCCATCAATTTTCCCGAGCTACCAAAGATTTTTCATCCGACGTCTTCTGGATTGTTTGTTACGGCTAAGGACCCTCGGGAGTTTTTTTTTAACCCATAAAATATTACCAAATGCTCCCCGAAGTCTCTTCCAATTTTCCTCGAAATAGTCAGCTGATATCTTCGGAAGCTTCTTTTGGCTTCCACGTTAGCTACTTTTGACTTCCGCTGGAAGGTTCATCCAACTTCCTCAGCAAGTTGCTTAAATTGTCATTGGAAGATTCTATTTATTCGTTTTAACTACCCCAGAAGTTTTTTCGACATCTCCGGAAGTTTCTCCCGACTTCCTCGATAAGTCTTTTTGGCTTCGCATGAAAATGTCTTCTGATTTCCTCGGAGAGTTTTTCTGGACTCACCCTGACACTTCTTCTGGCTTCCCTTAGAATATCCCTCTGACTTCACCTAGAGCATTCTTACAATTTCCTTTAGAAAATCTTTAGACTTCCTCTGGACGTTTCTGAAAACTTTCTCCTTAAATGTTTCTTATGACTCTTCCATGAACACCTCCATTCTTATATTTTGACCCAACAATACTTCTAGCATTTTTTCCCGGTAAATTGGAACGAATTCTCGGAAATCGCGAGACGTGATTTTTGGGACCTCCCTTAGCTCAGTCGGTAAAGACACAGCTACAAAGCAAGACCATGCTGGAGGTGGCTGGGTTCGATTCCCAGTCCGGTCTAGGAATTTTTCGGGTTGGAAAATGTCTCGACTTCCCTGGGCATAGAGTATGATTGTACTTGCCACACATTTATACTAATGCAAAAACGGTACAGGCATCGAAAGCTCTCAATTAATAACTGTGGAAGTGCATCTAGAACACTAAGTTGAGAGCACGCAAAAAGCTAATATGCCATACGCAATAAGCTTGAAAGCGAGGAAGAAGAAGAAGAAGATTTTTGGTAAAATTCGCGGGATAGTTTTCCCGGGGTTTCCCTAGTAGGAAACACTATCTGGAAGGATGCTTGCCGAATCTATGAAGGGATTCTAAACGGATCCCTGGAGAGTTATCTTTTCCGAAAATTCCTAAAGGAATTCTACTCCAATGATTGGAGGGAATCCAGTCATATCCCATTATTGATTCCACACGAATACTAGAAAGGATGTCACTTGAATCCCAAATTTCTAGTAGGATTCTCAAAAAAAAAAAACTTTATAGAGAATCCACTCAAGTCCATAAAGGGATTTTGCTCGAATGCCTAGAGGCATATAACATAAATTCTTGGGAAAATTCCACATGAATACATTCTTGGGAAAATTTCACATCAATTCAATCCAGTGGGTTTAACGGATTCTACTATAAATCCTGGAAGGATTTCACTTCAATCCTAGGAAAAATTCCAATCGATTCCCATAAGGAATTTTACTCAAATCTCTGGAGGCGTTATACAACATGGAGAGATTCTAGCTCGAGCCAAACGTATCCTTGGAGATATTCTACGCAAATACTGAGAGGTATTTAAAAAGAATGCATCTAGAGATTCATCATTAATCATTAGAGATATTCTACACAAATCTCTGAATAGATTCTAACCCAGTTTCTGGAAGCATTTTACACGAAAGTCTGGAAGGATTCTTCACAAATCTCTGAAGATATTCTACAAGAATCACTGGAGTAATTGAACAAGAATCTCTGGAGGAATCCTACACGAATCCTTGGAAGAATTCTACACAAATTCATGGAGGAATGCGTTGAATGCCAAGCCCTAGAGAAATTCTATTCGAGTCTCTAGATAAATTCCACCGACTTCTTCTTAACATTTCAAGCTTATTGCTTATCGCATATTAGCTTATTCCGGGCTCTCAATTTAGTGTTCTAGATGCACTTCCACAGTTATTAATTGAGAGCTTTCGATGCCTGTACCATGTTTGCATTAGTATAATTATGCAGCAAGTACAATCATGCTATATGCCCAGGGAAGTTAAGAAATTTTCCAACCCAAAAAACGCCTCGTCTAGATCGGGAATCGAACCAAGACTCCTCCAGTATGGTCTTGCTTTGCTGCGTCTTTACCGACTGAGCTAAGGGACGCCACGAATTTCTGGAATAATTCTACTTGAATGCCCAGCGTTACCCTACATGAATTTCTGTAAATATTCTACCCGAATTATATGGCCTATTCTACAAGAAACTCTGAAGCGATTTTATACGAATTCCTTGACAAATTCACTTGACACAAGTCCCTGGATAAATTTTACACAAATCCTTTGGAATGAATCCCCTTATACCCATGCAAGGATTCTACTAGAACGATTTCACTGGAATTCTATTGGAAGGATTTCACTCCAATCCCAGCAGAAATTCCAAACGAACCTTGAGAGGATTCTACACGAATCTTTGAAGGGATATTACACGCAAACTTAAAGAGATTTAATACGAAATTTTAAATAGACTAACTCCTAGACGAATTCTACTACACTCTCTGGAAGGATTCTACACGAAAACCAGGAAGAATTCTCCACAAATCCTTGGAGAAATTCTACACGTATCTATTAAGGCATCCTATATTAATGTCTAGAGGAACTTCATTCTGATTTCTGGAGGAATTCTACACTAGTCCTTGGAAAATTAATCTTTAATGTAAACATTCCATCTCGGGAGAAATTCAACACGAAGGAGTATTCTAATCAAATCTTTGAAGATAATCCGCTGACATCCCTCCAGGGATTCGGCTAGTATGATTTTATTTTAGAGTTATTTTTAGGTAGTCAAATTAGAATCCTACTGGAAGCATTGCACTCACCTCCCAGGAAAGATTTCAATAAATCATTGAAGGATTCTACTTGAATTCTGGAGGATTCGGTTAGTAGTATTTTTGCTTGGCTGGATCTACTCATGTCAATTGAGAGATTCTATACCAATCCCTGGAGGGATTTCAGATAATCTCTGGAGGGATTCTACACTAATTTGTGGAGTGATTCTAAGCAAATTCTTGAAAGGGTTCTGCACTAATATTTGATTGAATTTTTCACGAATCACTGGATAGATTCTACACCAATCCCTGATGGGATTCTATTCCACGCACAGGAAGGATTTTACTCGAAAACCTGAAAGGATTTTTCACAAATCCCTGCAGAAATTTTACACAAATTCCTGGATAAATTTCACAATAAAACCTAGAAAAATTCCATTCAAATCTCTGGAGGAACTCTACAGGAATTATTTAAGGAATTCATCTCGAAGCTTTGGATAGAATCAACTGATATCCCTGTAGGGATTCTACTAGTAGGATTTTATTGGAATCGTTGGAGGCATTCTACTCGAATTAATGGAGAAATTCTTGCTCATTTTCTACTGCGATTCAACACTAATCCGTGAAGTGATTCAACACAAATACTTGAAGGGATCTTAAATAACTTGAATGCATTACAACACAAATACTTGAATAAATTCTTCACGAATCACATGAGATAATCTACACCAATCCCTGATGGGATTCTACTTCAGGCCCAAGAAGGAACCCTCGAAACCTTGAAGAATTCTTCACAAGTTACTGCAGGAACTCTACACGAATTCCAGGAGTAGTTCTACTTAAACACCTAGAGGAATTTCATTCAAACCTCTGGAGTAAGTCTACATGCATCTTTGGAGGAAATGCACTGATATTCCGTAGGGAATCTACTAGAAGAATGTTATTGGAGTTCACTAGAAGGATTGCATTCCAATCCCAGGAGAGATTCCAATAACATTGTTCGAGGGATTCTACTCGAATCCATGCAAGGATTCAACACGAATCCTTAAAGGGATTCTGCACAAATACTTGAGTAAATTCTTCACAAATCACAGGAGATATGCTACACCAAACTCTGATCGGATTCTACTCCAGGCCAGGAAGGATTCTACAAAAAAACATGGAAGGATTCTTAACAATCCCCTGTCAAAATTCTACTCGAATTCCTGGAGGAATTCTACTTTAAACCCTAGAGCAGTTCCATTTAAATATCTGGAGGAACGCTACACGAATCCGTAGAGGTATTTTACTCGAATCCTTTTAAGAAAATTCTCTAATATTCCTGCATGGGTTCCACTAGAAGGATTTTACTGGAATTCTACTTGAATGTCTAAAATTATTCCAAACACATTCCTGAAAAGTTTCAATCCCTGGATGAATTCTACATGAATCTCTGGAGAGATTCTTCGTGAATCTTTGGAGGAAATCCACTGATAATCCGTAGGGATTTTACTAGAAGAAAACAATTGAAATTCTACTGAAAGGACTGCACATCAATTCCAGGAGGGATTCCCATCAAATCCTCGTAGGGATTCAACTTGAATCCATGGAGGGATTCTAGCTCCAATTTCTAGAGTGATTCTACACTATTCCAAAGATTCTAATCAAGCTTTGGAGTGATTTAACACGAATCCTTGAAGAGATTTAGCTCCAATATTGAATAAATTTTCCACGAATCACTGGAAAGATTCTACGCGAAAACCTGGAAGGATTCTTCACAAACCTCATCAGGAATTCTATTTGAATTCCTGGAGGAATTTACTTTAAAACCTAGAGAAATTCCATTCTAATCTCTGGAACAACTTTACACGAATTCTTCAATATTTGAAGAAAATCCACTAATATCCCTGTGGAGAGTAGATGATTTTTTTTTAATTCTCCTGGAAGTATTGTACTCCAATTCCAATACCAATTCCTATAAAGATTCTATCCATGCATAAATTATTCACGTTGGAATATTCTATTTGAATTTTTGGAAAGAATACACTAATATATTTGTAGGGATTCTACTGGAAGGATTCAACTGAAATACGACTGGAAGGATTGCTCTTCAATCCCTGCAGAGATTTCAATGGATTCTTTGAAGGATTCTATTCAAATCCATGTAGGGATTCTACTTCAATCCCTAGAAGGACTCTATAACAATTTCTAGAAGGATTCTACACTAATCTCTGGAGATTGAGAGAGAGGTAGAGTCCAGCTCAATCTTTGGAGGGATTCTGCACTAATGTCTGGAATGATTCTACACGAATCATTGAAAAAATTCTGGACGAAAATCTGATAAATTCTAAACTCATTCCTGCAGTGATTCTACACAAATAATTTAAAGCATTTTACACGAATATCTGATGGGATGCTTCACAAATCACCGGAGTGATTCTATACCAATCTTTAGTGGGATTCTTCTCAAGTCCCTGGAAAAAAATTACGCAAAAACCTGAAGGGATTCTTAACAAATCTACGGAGCAACTCTAAGCAGACGAATCCCTGGAAGAATTCTACTTGAATTCCTAGGGGTAGTCTGCATAAATTTCTAAACAGATTCTACCGGAATCCCTTGATATATTCTATTAGAATCTCTGGAGGTATTGAACAAAAATTCTCTAAATAATCTAGTCCATTCCCTTAAGAAAATTTTATACGAATCCCTGAAAAGAATTCTATACATACTCCTATATGCACTCTGAATAAATTGCTGGAGTTGTACACGAATCTGGATTTTACTTTAATCTCTGAAGGAATTCTACTCGAATCTCTGAAAAAAAAAAATACCAGAAGGGACTTTTCTCAGATTCCTGAATGGATCCTACTTCAATTCCTAGAGATTGTCTCCTCAAATCCCTGCAGAGATTCTTCTCCAATCTCAACGAGGACCCCTTTTGTGGTATTCTTCAAAAATCCCAAGCACCTCAAACATCCGTTGCATTCACTATCTAACGTGCTGCTTTTTTCAACAGGACACGGACCATTTCAGCCACATCGATTCACCAGAAACGAGCGACACCACCGAAGCGCTACACGGTGAAAGCCTCATGGACGACATCAGTTCCGTTCTGGGAATCGAATTGTTGGGTGCCTTACAGGACAACACAATCACCGAAGACACAACGACACTTTGCACTCTGGATCACACGAAGAGACGCAGCTTCAAAATCAAACATCAACAACAACAACAACAACTACAACAACAGCAGCAGCAACAACGAAAAGGGAGCATGGAACCGGAACAGTGCGGGTTCGAGAACCGAGCGTTCAACATCGATAACCGGTGCGATGATCAGAAAGTTCGAGAGCCTCGCTACTGTAGCCTGGCCAAGTTTGTTGAGGGCAATGACATCGCTAGGAAGAGCTTCAAGCGACCGGCCGGTCGCGAAATGCCATCCAGAAGTCTAGCGAGTCGAGCGTACAAGGTGCAGGAAAATGAATATGAGAATACGAAGAATCTGGCCGCATGTTTACTGCAACCGCATGGATCCCCATCGGATATGTCCGGTTCCGATACGGATACGGTGCGAACGTATGGGATCGAATACCGGAAACTAAGTTCGGCATGTACCAACCCGGACGAGGATAGCATAACGGAATACGATGACAAAGACGACGGATCAGATGAAGATCAGGACTCCGAAGGTGCAGCTGGGGGGCAGTTGGATGACGATGATGATGATGAGATGGAGGATGAGCCCGACAACGATGAGCAATCACATGAGATGACAGGCATTCCGACAATCAACGTGGTCGTCGAACCACCATCGCCGGCAATGAGTGACGAGCTGCGATCGCTTCGGGTGCCGGAAATACGACGACACTCCAGCCATACACCAAACATGCTGGCACCGCGAGAGATGGATGTCAACCGACGGCACTCGGGCAACAATCCGAATTTACTAGGTCTAGACTCGGAACATATACGCTTTCTCAATTGCTCGCCAGCTGCTACGCGACGAATCAGCAGTGGAAGTCTACTGTTCAAACCGGAAGCGCTGGGTAGTTCCAAAAGCAATATTTTTAGTTCTAACCTTCGTTTGTTCAACTTTGATGGAGATGCTGAGAGCAAAGAAGACGAGAAGAAGAAAAAAGAAGAGAAAGAAGAAAGGGTGAAGAAGCTGCCCATAATCAATCCTTTGGTAAGGTTGCCTTCTTGGCCCAATGTCACCAGTGGAACTGGGTTTATTTCCAAGTGTTTATTGGCTAATGCCGATACCTTGTGTGCGGCAGTCAGTCCTTTGATGGATCCGGATGAAACACTCATGGAAGGCTACATGGAGAAAGCCGTTATGAACAATTATTTTGGAATCGGCATCGATGCGAAAATATCCTTGGACTTCCACAACAAACGGGAAGAACATCCGGAAAAGTGTAGATCCCGAGCGAAGAATTACATGTGGTATGGAGTACTTGGCTCAAAGCAGTGGCTTCAGAAGACGTATAAAAACTTGGAACAGAAAGTGCAACTCGAGTGCGACGGGCAACGTATTCCGCTACCATCGCTGCAGGGAATCGTCATACTCAACATTCCGAGCTTCATGGGAGGTACCAACTTTTGGGGCAACAAAAAGGAGGATGATTGCTTTCTGGCGCAAAGTTTCGACGATCGCATCCTGGAGGTGGTGGCCGTTTTCGGTTCAGTCCAGATGGCAGCGTCCCGTTTGATCAATCTGCAGCACCACCGAATCGCTCAGTGCCAGAGTATTCAGATCAATATCTTAGGTGGGGTTTTAATGGCATGGGAATTTAATGTCGGTGATTCTAGAATTTGGCTTTAATTTTTTTCAGGCGAAGAATGTGTTCCCATTCAGGTGGACGGGGAAGCGTGGCTGCAGCCACCAGGAATGATCCGCATCATTCACAAGAATCGTGTCCAAATGTTGTGCCGCAATCGTAGCCTGGAGATGTCGTTGAAGAGTTGGCAGGAAAAGCAGCGCCAGCATAGCATATCGATTGCTCGCGAACAGCCGTCTACGGCATCGTCGGAGAATATGATTTCCATGTCAGATGACATATTCTCCGATCGGGAGTCGTACCTATTGTTGAACTTCATCGAATGCGTTAGCACCCTGGTCAAGTGGGTCAAGTTCTTGATTATTTCGCACCCATCTCTGCAGCCGGATCTGTACATGGTGGCATCCAAGACGGCTGAAGCACTGGAATCGATCCATCCGGGAGGTAAGATCATTGAAGGACCGGACCTGCGGAGGCAGCTGACGGAACTGGTGAGTGGTGGACTGAGTAAAGCTTTAAATACGAAACATCAAAATACATTTGTTTTTTTTTTCCGCAGGTTCGGGCGGCACGGCAGCTGTATGAAGATACCTGTGATCTGTTGCGAGAACGCAGCCACAGTCTGATCCTTCGTGAAGATCTGGAAACCAAGCTGAGCGTGTCGTTGGCCAACATGGAAATGGAACTGGGCAAGTGTAGCCTGCAGCAAACGAGTGACGGTGATACCAAGGTGTACCTTAACGTGCTGGCTCCAAACGAGGATGTCGATCATCGCAAGAAGCAGAAGCCGTTTTGGTTGCGCTTCCGGGGTCACCATGGACACCACGGTCACCATCATCATCATCACCATCATCATCCGGGGGCAGCGGGTGGAGCTGGAGGAGGCGGCATGACCAATGCCGATTTGGTCAGCAGCTGGGGAGTGGGCGAAGTGGTCACCTGGTTGGAGGCCATGCAACTGTCGGAGTACGTGGATAGCTTCATCAAGAATGACATACGGGGCAAGGAGTTGCTCACGTTGGCTCGACGGGATCTGAAGGATCTGGGAGTTACCAAGGTGGGTCACGTGAAGCGTATTCTGCAAGCTATCAAAGATCTGGGCAGTGCTGCCATCGGGTGAGATTAGTTCAGTGAGGACAGGTAGATGTAGAATACAGTCATAATCCGGTAGGGTGGCTCCTGACAGGGTCACCGATAATCTTTAACAAAGCTAACCGTAAAGAATCATTTGAAAACTTTTGCGAAGCAGTTGTCAGCAAACACAAAATGAAGAAGCAAGGAAGTAAATTCGTTTAATAATCAAGAAACCAAAAGACTTCGTTTACTCTTGTATAAGCATATATTTCCAAGTCTTTTTAAGTATTTATTTCTCTCGAAAAGTGAAGAAACGAATCTCTAGCTAAAGAAGCAACAAGCAGATCGCAATGATTGTTGGGCGACGTAGTATCATCATTCCAGTACCGAACAAGTAGAACTATTGAAACAACACGGAAACAAAGGCGGAAGTGAATATCATGAAATATAAATTTTACTTTAGTGGCTCTGAAAACTGAAAAAAAAATTACTGAAACAAAATCGTTGAGAAGCCTAAATCTCAAGCCTAATGTTGATTGTGTGTTTAAGTTGAAAGTTTTCCAACGTTAAATTGCCAATTGCCGTGTGAGTGTGTACGAGTGTTATGAAACATTTTCCTTTCCGAACATAATCCGGTTTGTTGGCGTCACGTGTGAACTGTAACCAATACAAATGTTTCAAATTCTAAATCCAGTTTGAGAAACAGGAAGCACCGATGAAAACTTTACCACTTGTGTTCCTCTGAATACTTTTAGTGCTGTTGAGTGTCTATTTAGTGTGCGGAGATCTAGAATATATCGGGATGAGTGTTTGCATGGAAGAGAACTGTTGGGTTTGGAAGTGAGCCCTGGTATCGACCGTAGTTAAGACATAAGCATTCATTTATGAAACGTGTGCATTTATCATCTTCCTTTACATTGAATTATACGATGGTGGTTAAACATATATATATAGGTATATAGCGTAGTAAGAATTAGTCAATGTTCTTTCTTGTGAAGAGAAGATATAAAAGAGTAAATTGTTTAGTAATGAGAGATAAGATGAGTTCCGGGGTTAACGGTTGGTGGAAGCGATCGTTTATTATTTATTTAGCATGATTTTTGTTCAATAGATTCTGTCAATTCCGATAATCTGTACAAATTGGGAAACAAGTTTAGAAAATATTGTTTTATATAATATTTTAAAACGTAGTTATTCATGTTAAAAGTAGGCAGAGCTTAATTTATTCCAAAGAGATTTTTTTTTTTGAATCAGCACGCGAGTCATTTCAGGTCAAATAGCCGGACATTGATTTTTTCGACCTTCTCCGCTTTGTAAGATACTTTACGAAATTATTTGTTATGGGCAATTATTTATTGCTAAAATCCGGATCGCTTAAAATTTTAAAAATGGTGTTCCTAAAAATTGTTAAGGAAATTTTAGCCTGAAAACGGCATCTCTAATCGAAATGACGTTTGAAACCAAGTTGTAGTGACGTAGAATTTATTTCTGTGAAAAATAAACAATTAATGTTTTGTATTTGTTTTCAGCAAAAATTATACAAATATTTTTTAAATATCTCAAAATATCCTTGCCGTTTTTTCAAATTTTTATTAAAAAAAACTTATGAAAAATGCATATATGCGTGAATTGCACTCTGGGACACTGTATTTCACTAAAGCAACATGTTCGAGGGTTAGTATTCACAATCATAGTTCATTATTCTTCGATTCAGTGGCTTTAAACAAATTTTTAAATAGTGCTTCCCTAAGAGGGTCGCTTTCTTAGCCGTACGTCTAATACTCCGATAGTTGCGTTTACGATACTGTCTTTAAAATATGCATAATGTTAATGATTTCTATGCTCAAATGATTTTTTTGCTTGATTTTATAGTGCGGCCAGAAACTGGCGCCGTTAGCTTTGAGTGTGTTGGTTTATTTCCACTAAATTCCGTTATAATTGCTTATCTTTTGACAGATACGCGTTTTTCGTCTACTACTTGCAGACTTCATCAGTGCCAAGTACTCAACACCACGCGAAATACGCGTATCTGTCAAAAGATAAGCAATTATAACGGGATTTAAAGGAAATAAATCAACACACTCGAAGCTCTTCATAAAGGGATAGGTTCGGTAATAGGTTCGAAAAATGTTAAAAGAGTGTTTGTTTGCTATTTTCAACACTGCCGATTCTTCAAAGTGAAAAAAGAAAAACGTTAAGCTATCTACCCACACTTCGCATGATTATTGCATTGCTCCAGCCATGTTACAATATGCTTTCGTATTTTGGATGATTGCCTTATGGTTGAATTCGTCATCAGCTGATGAGCATCCGTTTGACTGTCAACAAAATAAAGGATGATATTTATTTGAAAATTTATTGAACGACATACAGCGCTCGGCGGGCAACAATTTACATTTCCATACTGAAGTTAAAATAGTGTTCCCAAACTCATTAAAGGTTCTCTGAAATTAAACAAAGTTCCTTTAACTTCTATGAAGTTCCCCAAACTTGTACAAAGTTCCAGCTTCTACTAAGTTTTCGCGATTTTTTACAAAGTTTCCTAAATTGCTTTGAAGTTCTCTGATGTTCTACGATATTTTCGGAATTTCTTCGATGTCCCTGAAGTTAGTTTAGAATATCCCTGATCAGAGTTGGTTGGAAATGCTAACATGAAGCTTTAGTGTGATGATTTATTAGCTAGAGAATGATCTTTAGAAGAGGGTAGGTGGATAGTTCCGTTAGAGTACGGCAGTATGAAAATTGAATAGAAGTTGAAAATGAGCGAAGGGCCATTAATGCGACAGTTTTTAAAGATCGACGCACATTTTTGCCTAACCCGTACGATGTACGCGGGGACTTGAAGTATGTCTCCAAGTCTACAGGCAAAAAATGTGCGTCCCTCTTTTGCTCATAAACTGACTGCGCCTGTGGAATAGTTCTAGCGACGTTTTCATCACTACCTAAAGCCCCACGTTGCGAGAGCATTTCCAGTCGATGGTGTGTTATAATACAGTTCGACAGTGAGCACAAAACAAGCACCACAAAACAAAATCTGTCTCTCTCCGCTATCACACACACACATACACAACAAATGTCATTTGCATAAAAAAGGACTAAAAATTCTCGCGTCACTTTTTAATAGGTCCTATCTACATTGATCGATTCTCTCCATCGACTTTCTCTTTTAATCGTGGCCGTGTTAAGATATTTCCGGATATTTTCAACTAACACTTCGATGGAAGAAGCAGAAATCTAGCTTTTAAAACGACAAAGACTACAGGAAACGTTTTGTAGCAAAGTTATTTAAGAAAGAGAAATTCGATGAAGAGAATCGATCAATGTAGATTTGTTTATTTGAACATTGAAGCGAGAATTGTCCGCTAGCGACATCCGTACCCAGCTTCTGAATCCAATCGCCCTTTCAGCGGGCAGGACTCTTCAGGTTTGTCCAAAAAACCCACAGTCAAACCAGTGGCTTCATCTGCAGTAACCAGCGCGGACAATTAACAGCCAAACGGATATCGTTCCGTCGATTTGGAGCGATTATGAGTGTCACTAGAATCACTTTTTTTGTCACTTGGTGACGAGCAGGCATGGAAAATCATTTGCATTCATTTCATACATTCATCTACATTCATTTGCCTCTAACTTTTGTCACCAACAGCATTGCGTAAAATGATGCATAGAGCTTTTGTAGGTTTTGTTATTAACTACAACTTTTGCTCATAACTCAAATCTGTATCTCTTATGTGTCACGAACTAGAGTGGGCAGAACTTGTTACTGTTTTTCAGTGAATGTAAAATACATTCACTGAAAAACAGTAGTGGCTCCTGTTCGCTCTTGTTCGTCATGCATCAGAGATATGGATTTGACTTGTTAACAAAAGTTGTAGCTAATAACAGTACCTACAAAAGCTATATACATCATTTTGTGGAATGCTGTTGATGACAAAAGTTAGAGGCAAATGAATGTAAATGATTTTCCATGCCTGGTGACGAGTCGCGTCACTGGAGCGATTATGAGCGTTACTTTTCCATCACATTTTGTAGCGATAGCCCAAGTGATCGACCTATTCCACAAATGGTTTGGATGATTTCCTTAACACGTCGTTAAGAAAAATAACCATAACAAATATAATAGGGGGTAACGTCACATGGTTACTGACAAGTGAATGCAGTGTTTTTAGAAACTTGAATGACGAGTCGTGTCAGTGGTGATGTTTTGTAATAATATTTCAAAAACTGCCCATAAGTACAAATGTTACTTACGTTATTAACTTCGATTTCTTCAATAAAATATTAACTGTAAAGTATTTTGTTGGAGAAATCGAAAAAAAAAATCAATCAACGGACAATTGCGCTCTTTTAGCTCTTCTTTGGTGGCGTGGGTGATAGATGCAAACTATCAAAATGTAGAAAATACTTTATTAAGGTAAAATTTGCCTTTTTAAAAGATTTTCATAAAACATTGATGCTTTACCATTTAGTCTTAACCAGGGTATTAAAAATATCGTAAACCGACGAAATGACTAGCAAAAAGCGAGCCAAAACAAGTAACGGTGATTTTTTTATTTTGATTCCTTTGTTCCAACTTTCTTTAGAAAACACAACTAGCAGTTGAACTAGCTTCAAAAAGTGGATTTCGTACATTGCGGTAATGCCTGTGTTAAATTCAAATAGCGGAAAATAAAAATTCAAACTGTAAATAATTAGCAGTGCATAAGCTTTGTTTAGATGAAGATTTTAGTAATCTTTGAAACCAGAGAAGAGTTATAAGGGATGCATCAAATCCATTGAAATTATCGACTGAAATGTAAGCAGAGCCTCAATATATTGGAATGACTGTAATATTCCAGGTTTGTGCAGTATTTCAGAATTTCGAAAGATTTTTTATTCGTATCTGGATTCTAAACGTCATTTCATGAAGGAAATTGGTTGGAAATGCTATCTAGTATGAAACCTTAGTGTGATAATTTATTATCTAGATGATGGTTTGAAGAGTGTATGTAGATAGTTCCGCTAGAGTACGGCGTACGGCAATATGAAAATTGAATATAAGTTGAAAATGAGTGAAGGGCTAATAAATGCGACCGTACTAGTCAAACGCACGCTTCTTTACTCGCACCATTCAAACCATTACTTAACCATGCCGAAAATGGTTAAACATTGTTTATAATCCCTGCTAAACTTAAACTGAAGTGGTTATGGAACTTTACATGAACGATTGTGTGATAAACTTGTAACCTTATGAATTATGGTTTTTTGGAAGTGAACCTTACAAATAATGGGTTTGTTGTTTAGGGATATTGAGGTTATTTAAATTTGCGAGGAAATCTACAATTTCAAGAGCAAACTTTCATTATGTCGTAAGTAACATTCGCACCGATCCGAGAAAAATAAAGTTTTGTTTTGATGACCGAACAGTTATTCCTATTTCCAATTAAACACATATAATCAGCAATGTTTAACATAATTAGCCGGGTTTTAATCATACAAATGCAAATCGCTAGCTTTCATGCTAAGAAATACTGGTTTTTGAGTCAAAAGTTATTATACGTCGTTTGGTGGCCCCTATTGTTACTTAAGTCAAAGTGTATTTACCAGGATATTCGGGAGAATTATCAATTACGTCCCCTTACGTGCAGCCCATTCATCATTTTAGGACCACCGAAATCATCTTAGCAACAAATAGTTCGATTTATTCACTTTAATAATGAGAAAGCGAAACGACGAAAGTACACTTTTACGGGTTTCTCAGTGCTGTTACTTAAGGCAAACGGCATCTCCATAGAAATCGGGTGACTTAAGTAACATCGAAAACTATTTTGATCGGAAGGTGATTACGTCAAAAAGCAATTCGACTGGTAAATAAATTTAAAAATGGGATGTGATCCTATATTCGGACAGAATATATTGTAATAGCAGGAGCATCGATTGACACTGATAGCTCGACTTTGTTTACCTTTGTTACATT